GTATGGGTTCCGGGCTCCATATTTTGAGGCCCAGTGGCACCAAATTATCATTAATAATTATGTATTTTTTTATAATTTAAATTCATATTTTTTAATAACTTAATTGTACAAATTACTTACGTATGGGTTCCGGGCTCGATATTTTGAGGCCCAGTGGCCCAAAATTATCATTAATAATTATGTATTTTCTTATAATTTAAATTCATATTTTTTAATAACTTAATTGTACAAATTACTTACGTATGGATTCCGGGCTCCATATTTTGAGGATCGAAATACCAGTAATAGATACTAAAACAAAAGGAATTCTAAGCTAAAATACTACACATTACTACGCTACAAGGCTCTAAATTTTACTACGCTAAAAGGGTCTACGTTTTACTACGCTAAAAAGGTCTAGATTTTACTACGCTAAAAAATAATCTAAACTAAACATAAATAACAAATAAATTTAATTGCAAATAAAACACAAAACGGCATGAAAGCACATATATATAAATGAGAATATTAACAGACAAATTTATATTTTTATATAAAACAGTAAAATTAAATCCGGATAAATTTAAGATGCTAATTTCGAAAATAAAACCACCAACCGAAATAGAACACATACAAATCAAATAATATGCATTATTATAAAAGTTTCAACTTAAAATAAATCGAAATACCTCGATTTAGAATTTTCGGAAAGCAAATAGATCAAAAATTTGACTCCGAAAGCGTGAATCAACAATAACAAGAAGCTCTACTCGAGTGTGGGACCTACGTTCTTCAAGTTTTATGTGCCGGGGGGACCCAAAATTTTTTTTTTTTTTTAGTGGCGGACAGAGGGGGGGGACCAATTTTAGGAAGGGGGGATTAGAATAATGGAGGAAGAAGACGGGGGAAGAAGAAGATGGAGAGTTTTTGGGGAGGGATATAACGCCACTATTTCTGGCGCTATATCACTGTCAGTGTATAACGCCAGAAATAGTGGCGCTATATCACTCTGACAGTGTATAACGCCAGAAATAGTGGCGCTATACATAAACTCTCCAGTTACCGTTAATATATAGCGCCACTATTTCTGACGCTATATATATTATTGTTACCTTTTTTTTTTACACCTATTTATGTATTTTGAGTCCAAAATAGCAACATTTTGGTTTCGGACTCTAGTTTTTACTCGCTTGCTTTATGATGTAATCACAATCAGAATCCTTGATATTGAATGTTTTTGATAGAAGTAATAAAAATCTTTTCTTGCATTGATTTTAAAAACACTCTCGTACTTCGAACTCCATAATTAGAATTTTCACCTATTTTTCCGTTCTAATTTATATGAACTTATTTAATTGGGCATGAAATTTTAAAAAAGATGAATACTTTTGAAACTTGTGTTCCTAAACAAGTCAAAAAAGGGTCTAAAGTATTTGTATGGTTATAAAAGCTTCTCAGTAAGAATAAAATTAAAAGTTTAAACTAAATTATTTTCATATTTAAAAAAAAATTATTCTTTTTGAAACGAACAAAAAAAATAGGTTCACGTAAATTAAAACAAATAGAATAATCTTTTTGCACAACAAGCAAAAAGGGGAAAAAAGAAAAAGAAATAGGAGTAAGAAAAAGAAAGAAGATAGGAAGTAGCAATCCGACGATATGACGTGAATAACACTTGGAAGGTGTGAAGTCAATTAAAAAGTTAAAATTTTCATTTCATATTCTAACTAATCAATATGTAGTTAACCAGACAAAGACTCATCAGTTGCCACCGTTCTTGCCGAAAACCAAAACAGAGTAACGTTGACATATATAGCATTATATATTAATATTGTGAATTTTTTAAAAATTGCTACTTACAAATTACAAGCAAACTTCATCTTACTCTTCCTAATAAATAAGAATTATTAACCTGAAAATATAATACATATATATTTTATTAGAAAAATACCTCCCTATAACAGTCATTCATTATAAAAGTTAAATTTTTCTCAAAATCGATTTTTTAAATTATATTTTAGCTCTCTATAATAGCTTCTTACCTATACCATCAATATATATATA